TCTCCTCCGCTAGTAGGCAAGCCAAATTCCGATTTTGAAGTTGGCGTATGCGCAGAAACTTGTAAACAGGTGATTCGCCCTAAGTAGATGGGGTTGATGAGGCATTTGTTTAAAACAATTTTATAAATTGTTGCAACTTACAGAACGAATTATGTCTAAAGGTCAAAATTTGTGTGTTTATTAATGTTTCAATGATTTTACTTTAAATTAAACTTAAATTAAGTCATGATATCAGACTTTAATTAATCAATCATTAATACTATTATTATATTATTAACCTGCAGCTCGGTAATTCCAATCGCTTAATGCTGGTGACGAAGAGTGAAATAAAACATAATGATTGGAAGGTAAAAATCAATGAATTTCAATTCATTCGTCTTTGTTTTGAGATTGAGGTTGAGGGGTTGATGAGCCGTTTGTTGCCTATTGTTTAACTTGGATGCTCAGTCTTGTCACCTCAGTTAATTTTCTCTTTCCGAGGTATAAAAGTAAAATCGATAATTAAATACTGAAAATATTTAAATTATCCACTGCATGAAATGATTAGCATTCGAAAGCCGTCGATAATCTCTGTCTAATCTGTGAGTTCTAAATATCTGTGAATTCCAAATATAACATTCATAATACTACTTAATAAAAAAACCTTCTGACTGCAGTTTTTGCATATTTAGTAGTGGTCTAGATTCCTGAAACCTATTGTATTCTGCAAGTTGTCTCTTGCACTTTTTTACATCAGTATGCTTGTTCACGTGACTGTCTAGATATGCATTTGCGAGTTTTGAGCTCGAAATCTCTTGCTTGGCAGACGTGGGTTCTGATCGCAAGATGTAGCTAGAGATGAGGTAGTTTAGAGGATTTTAATACAAGATGAAAAAACAGGAATAAGATAGGCTGATAATTGTGATTCTGTGCCATGGGTAAATAAAGGAATAAATCAATAAATGTCTGTAGGCCCCAATCACGATAACAGATAACGCCGTTGAGGAATAAAGTTGCTATGAAACTATGTTGGACTTTCAAAATATTAACGATAATTGTCAAAAAATCTGATATTTATTTAAATTACCGATTATAGCATGTCTTGATTTGTCTCAGTTAATTTGATTGCATTTAATTCCCTTATTATATGAATTTGAACCCCATAATAACTGAGAAGGAAGATTAGTTGTGATTTAACCCAAACGCATACCCCCTTTAATTCAAACTGAAATATAAAGGTATTTTAACTAACAAATCTCACCTCTGTCTAACCTGAGGTCATGAGTTCGAGTTTCAATGATTCGTTTATGGTAGTGATTGGAAAATCTTGTAAATAGATGGATATTATGATGCGATAAACTCAATTAAGCGATTTAGCGAAGACGAAGGCCAAAACTACTTTTATTAAAGCTTAGTGACCTCTGATGCATTCAAAATAATGCCTCTAAGTGGTAGGACTATAGGATTACTGAATGACAAACTATTGTTACCTCGGACAGGGATACACTGAAACCCTTCTTCCTAAAGGAAGTGGATGACACAATACCTTCAGAGTTCGAAGAACGCAAGGTTCTAAGTAACCTTACTTTAAGACGTTCTAGTTCTATCCATTACAGATGTTATTCCAAAGTGGAAGATCATGTTATCAGTGCCCATTGGTACACTTGCAATAGCATGAACGTCCAAACCTTCTCGTTAATTCCAGTTAATAGGATGGATGAGAGGGCACGGGTTTCTCATCAGAGGGGATTAAGAATACATCCCCTTTACGTCAGTTGCTAAGTTTGCAATAGTGTTAAAATAGTAAAGAGCAATAGTATTTTTTTATTGATTTTACTTAAAATAAGAACTCTTGTGCTTATATGCCTTAGCTATGAAATAATTTATTTATTTATTTCAAATGGCAGGCATTTTGATAATTATCATTATCCCTTTAGTTGACTTCGGGCTTCACAGAAGGGAGGAACATTAAAGTGAGAAGAATTCGACAGGGGAAAAAAAGAGCGATTCACAGATGTAAAAGACAGACAGACACAAAGGCAGAGAAAAGGCTAGATGAGTACTGTGAAGGGGTCGAACATGACATACGGTGGGGTCATGGTAGTTTGAAGTCAGAGGTCAAATGCCGGTTAATAGACCTTTTTGCCGTATGAGTATACGTTGCCCAGGGCTAATCACGCGGAAGTAAGTCTTTCGCACACCCCAGTTTTCACTAATATAAAGCGCTTTATAACTATTATCTACTAGGTAACTCGGAATCTAACATTTCATCATAAATGAGCAGCAAAAATTTAAATGACTTTCATCATTTTTGCCATTTAAAAAGTTCTTTTTTTATTGAAAATAACAAATTTGATTATTAGAATAGCTTTTAACAAGCAATGCGCGATTAATATTATCTTCATTTTTTAGCATTTATAGCCTAATCAAAAACTCTTTGATTTCTGGAACATGGTATTACTAAATTCCTCAATTGAATACGTTTGCAACCAATCCACGGCGGACCATTAATTTGAAAATTGATGGGTATATATTTCAGGTCTTACCAATAAAACATACATTACTAACAGCGATTTATTAAAAGTGGTATAACATTAAGGGGATGTGAAAACTAAAAGTGAAGGACTTGGCATATTACCCTTCCTGGTCTCCAGATGTATAGTGGTCACATATTCTTCTGACAAAACCGAGGTCACGTGCTCGGAACTCAACAGTAATTATCAATTGGGAAGAAAGGTTAATTAGGATCACACTTGACACTCAATTCGAGTCATTTTAGATTTCTTTACTGAGAAACATATGGGGAAACAACTTTTTTTTGGTAAAATTTAGCTCATTTAAAAAAAAGGAATTTTGCAAGCATTAATTCTACTTCTCAAGTTTATGAGCATAATTCGTGCAGACAAAGAAGACATCATTAATAAAGGAAAAGGTTGGCCGACGATTTGCTTCACATGCCTGGGGTCAGACGCACTTCCGGAGTTGGGGAAGATTCTCTCTCCTTTATAATTGCATTGCTGACTTTTCAGTTGAGCAAAAATTAGGTTCCCCCTCATTTCCATGTACTTTAAAGTCGCAGTACCTCAAATTACTTCTCGTGCCTCTGTGTTTCGATGGCAAAATTAGTATGAAACATAATTCATTTCCTGCATCTCAGCTTTGTTTTGATAATGACAATCAATATTTTAAGATTTAAACAAATCTTAGCTATGGATAGCAACTGACAATAAGTATGCATGCGAATGAAGTCTTTAAATGGATAAATTGGCTTGAAGTGCATAAGTCTAAAATGATGCCTCTTTCGCACACCTTAAACACACCCTTTCTAAACCCCTTAAACAGGGCAAAAAATGGCGCTACTTTTGAGGAAAGAAAATAGAATGTCTGTATTAGGCTTCAATGTTCGTTAATTTAATATCAAATACGGCCATTAAATTAAACAAAGGAGTACTAGCAGGACGCCTTGACAGTTGTCTGCCTGAATAAAATTTCGACAATTAATAAACGTCCTCGTTTCAACTTCTCTCCACCGCCTTTCCTCCATTAAACTTGCGAGATGAAACAATCAATTAGACTAAGCTCTAAATGGCTTTTTTTTTTTCACAAACCACAGACAAAGGGACTAATGCACACTGGCCATTAATCATGGAAAAAGTCGACCGACCGACCGACCAACCGACCAACCGACCACTACCACTTCTCTTTGCTTGTCCGGGGGTCATACCACGCACAGACCCCCTTCCCCAAGGTGGCTTTTGGTGTTGTGACGAGGAGAGAAAAAAAAGTTTTAGCATTTGGGATTAATGTCTGACTCTGCCAGTCTAAAATGTGGTGGTACACACCAAATGAATAATATCTTTGATATTTCAAAATGTCGAAAATGACCATTTTCCTCACGATTGCAAACACTGTCGATTTTTTACACTTGTAGGGAGCTTTCAAAATTTATTTAAAAAAAAATAAAACAGGAAAGCTAGACACAATTACTTAATTTTCATTATTTTTTTAGTAACTACGGCTACCCTTGGTGGCGGAATGCCAACATTTATTTATTTCAAATGGCAGGCGTTTTGATAGATATCATTAGCCATTTAGCTGATTTCGGGCTTCACAGAGAGAAGGTTCATCAAAGTAACAGAAAGTCGAGGGCTAGGGAACAGAAGAGCGATTCACAGATGTAAAAGAGGCAGACAGACACAAAGGTAGAGAAAAAGGTAAGGTGAGTACTGTATAGGGGGTCGAATATGACAACCAGGGGGGTCGTGGTAGTTTGAAGTCAGAAGTCAAATGCCGGTTAAGAAACTTTTTTGCCGTATGAGTATACGTTGCCCAGGGTGCACCATGTGGAGGTAAGTCTATCACACACCCCTAGCTATGAAATAATAAGTAACCAAACAAGCAATTAAGTAGTAAGTAGTACTAAATTAAGAACTAAATCTAATCTTTTAAAATAATTTCGTAAGTATTTAATAATTGTCTATTAACAGCGATTTAGCCCTAATAATACTATATTTTATTATTAACTAAAGAAACAGGACACTTAATACAAACTAAAATATGATTGAAATCTCTTTATTAAAAACAATTGTAAAATAATTATTTCCAAAAATAAATGTACTAATTAATTTAAAGATATGTCTATCATGACCCAGAAGTATAAATTGTCATTTCATTGTTGATAATGAGGCCTCTAATCAAACTAACCTATATCTGCGTATGCATAAAATTGCCTGCTTAATGATTGGTTAATTGGTTTCATTGGCACGCGCTCGCTCTAACACCATCTACCAATTAGCACAAGAGGGCGACCACTAGTTCAAATAGCATTAACCAATGAACTTACAATAATTGTCGATGTGACCTAGGATTGGTTAGTGAGCGAGGCACGCACGCGGGGTACGCGCCCAGGTTGAAGCCATGATTGACAAGCCCATTAGTAAAAACGCCAGTAGCTTAGAGTTGCTTTTTTCGACTCGATTCATCCTTCTGTCGTGAGAAATTTTTCGTGTCTGCATGAGTATATGGACGCGGAACGTCAAATTATCGCTATGAATTGCGTTCCCAGCTGTCATCGCCAACAAAATTCCCCCCTAACATACCCTTGCAGCAACACGAGCAACAACAGCATAAGTAATCGCAGTTGCTACTCTCCAAATGCCAATGAAGTCACGGATGCACAGGATATTCATATGAATTCTGCTATTTCAATGCAAGACCTCTCTGGGTAAGTTCGCCCTATTTTCAAAAAATAGGTGATTTCAACTTTTTGTCCTGTTTTGTTTTCCCATATCTTGTTAATGGTGCGGAACTATTAGAACAAACCCAGAAATGGGACTTGGGCTTTCGGAATTGTGTAACAATACCACCTCTGTTATTTGTGTGCCTCCCATTTTCCACTCTCCCATGTTTCCCACTAGCCGACAGAATGACTGACTCTCAACCAAACTGCAATTCATTCAATGCGTTAGAGAAAATTACTAGGGAAAGTAGTAACTATGACAAAGGGTCTATCAAATAGGAGTGCCTAACAGATGTGTTGACAATAAAATAGATCATTACACGTGTGCATAACTTTAGAGACACCTGGGCTTTATAGCCCCTTTTCATAGAAGTCATAGGGTGTTGCTAAGATGCTAACTTCATTCTCAAATCATCTTCTAATTAGTTACTGACCTTTGTGGTCATTGGCAACATATTCTCGCACGATTAAAGGAGCTCTGTAAGAATTACATCTTGTCATCCTAGAAGAAGAAATTAAATGATGATTGACAGGCAATGCCGGAAGTTGTCGAGGATTTGGTTCTAATAGGGACCTCTACTCCGAAAGGAGTTTTTTTAACTGCTGTGTGTTTGGTCATCTAAACAAATGAGCATGGTCAGAAATTGGGCTTTCTCTATTCGTGTTTACATTCACTTGTTTATCAACTGAGAATTCATGTAAACACTTAACCGAAAATACTCTCAAAGAGACGACAATTCCATTCAATAGAATAAGCCAAGCACCAACCAGAAGTCAAGGACGAAGAAAAATACTCATTAATTGGTAAGGGTCTTCTTTCTAGAAAGTCGACACTCAGGCTCGCACATGAATATTGTCGTGATTGACAGTTGAGAGTTGGTTGGAGAACCATGTTTGGTCATGTCTAGACTACCAGGTGAATTCGCGAAGAGGGTACTTAGTTGGGGTAGAACTCGTATTGGCACTTGGAAACAGGCCCGACTTTTCGTCACTTGAACCCATTTTCGCCAGTTTGTGCCCAAAATCGTTTAGGGGGGGGGGGGCGTTTGATTCCAAAATGATCAGGCTATTTAGCCATTCGTTTAAGCAATTCCGGCTGATCCAACTTATCGAACATTTTGAATTGCCTCTTTCACAAACTGTTCAATTGTCTGGCAAACTACATCTTTTGCGATTGTCATAATATGGTATTTCGTTATGGCCCCTAATCCATTGTAAATGGTCGGTTTTGTTGAAGTTCGATGTAAATTTGAATCTTGAGGTCGTTCAAGTTATCGATTTTTATCAGAGTGGTAGAAATCGATGTTTATTATGACAACAAAATAACTAATAACGCGACTTCCAACTTAATCTTTTATACAAAAACCTGCCTTTTCCTTACTCAGAAGATTAAACAACTGAAAAGCCTTGCACGAATAATGCGTAATTAGAAAAGTAATTTCCCCACTTAATGAGATAAAACACAAATTGTTTTCTGTCTCTTGAACACACACACACACATACACTTCTTATTATCGATAGTGGAGAGTTAAAGCGACACTTAGGGGATGACTGACGTGTGGACGGACGGACTTTTTCGAGTCGTCAGGATGAGATGTCAATCAGCAGTGGGGATGGCGTATGTTGGTTGTCTCCCTTGCTCACACACACACACAGAGGAGACCAACTATGGAGATGTTATCGGTCTACGGAATGGCGTGCAAGGAGGTAAAAAATGCAAACATCCACTGTTCCTTGGTTACTACCGATGAATACCAGATGGAAATTAAGGCTTTATTGTTTTCTTATGCTATATTTTATCGTTATTATTGGCAATGGGTGTGAAAGATTCAGCAGTATACGCTTTACGAATTAAAAAGTAGGGTATTAGAGCTGATTCGACTTGTTTTGAGCCAATAATCGTTTCGGAGGGATGTCAAACTGTCAAGCTACAGCAGATCTCCTCATTTGCCACAGCACACACACAACTCATCTAACTCCCCCTCCCCCTCTTTCTTTCTAGAATCTCCGCAATGAACAATTTGCTCGTCCAAAATAACAACCAATCCCTGAATGCCCAGAAAAGGATGATTAAAGAGTGAGTATTTATTTTTCCAGGAAATAAATTTTAATCTGTTGATAATTATTTTTCAATTTTGACTGACTAGGCTATCATCAGTGATGGGCGTTAGCAGATAGGATTGAGTTAGGGGTTGGGGTGGGAGGAAGCAGAAGAAACGGGGCGGGGTAAGGCAGGAGCGAAGATGGGGAGGGATTTTACTCCCCTATTCCCTAGCCTGAGACATGCATTATCATAAATACTTGGGAGCACAGAAAACAGTAGGAGAACCCATTAGTTGTCATGGTTTTCCATGTACCTTATCAATTGCCAGTCACGAAATTCCTTACTCCCGGCAATTCTCCTCCTTCTTGTCATCTGAAATCCTCTCCAAAATGTTTATTCTCTTAAAAATAATAATAATATGCTAATTTATTATTTTAGACATCCACTCTACCCCCTTCTTGCTGTCTTATTTCGACAATGCGAAGCTGGAACTGTTCGACCCTGTTCACCTCCAGCATTGGATCTATTCAATGAAGAACTGCGGGTATTTATCGATCGAACAACCTCATCCCTAGTGAATAATCATCCAATTAAAAGATCCCAGTCTCCCCAACAGTCTCCACTGAACCATCTTCAAACTAGCTCTTCGGATGATAAATCAAAATCCCACAATGACGATATCAATCGAGAAGTTCCCTTGAATGTTTTCATGGCAGATCCGGAATTAAATGAATTAGTAAGACCACCAAATTTGTACACAATATTCCAGTGCTTCAAAAGTTGTCTAATGATTGGCTTTTATTTGGCGTAGATATTTCTAGCCGTTAAAGTTCTGCGGATTCATCTACAGGAGCTTCACAAAGTGAATGAACTTTCAAAGGATTTTTGCTCACGATATATCACAAGTTTGAAGACTAAATTCCAATCAGATTTGCTTCAATTCCAAGGTGAGTGGCTATGGATTTCCATCTCCCCTCCCCACCCCACCCCCCCAACAAGTTAGTTAAATATTCTAATCTTGCATGATGGTACTGTCTGCCATCAAACACGACACGCAATATACCTCTCTCTCTCTATCTCCCTCCACTCTGACAGAGTGGATATGAGAGGCAGAGGCTAAGGCACGCGATTGACAAAAGCTTCGCGATGCAACCTTTTATCTCTACTCGTGTCTCTCAGTCACTTAATCAAGAATTCATCTACCGATACGCCACCCCTTACCCCCAATCCTCCCAGTCATCGTACAGTATTATTTTGAGTTCTTCCAGATAAAACTTTTATTGCTCTCTCAGAGACCAAGGGGATGGAGGGAGGGGGGGGGGTTCCACAGTATAGCGTGTTGTCTTTGAAAATCCTGCGCGATACATTCATTAATAAATTTCGTAGAGGGAGGGGAGAGGGGGGAGGGAATTTCTTGTATTTAAAAGTTAGTGAAATTCTGCTTTCGTAATTATAATGATTCACTTGAAGACCATTCCCATTGGTTCGCGGATCTTTGTAATGACGTCACAATATGGAGTCTGTCAATCAAAACTTCAAGTTTGCGAATTGCGATTTCAGACTCGTGACTCCCTCGCACTCTATTCGATGTCTAATGTGTATTTACGAGGACTAACGAAAGACCTTCCCTTACGCTCACACACACACAGCACCCAGCACACACTTGTGTGCTGTGACACCAAGCGAAAAAGAATTTTTTCCAAAGTTTATTTTATTTATTTATTTGTATCAAATAGGAGGCGTTTTGATAGGTATCATTAGCCCTTTAGTTGATTACGGGCTTCACAGAGGGGAGGAGGAACATCAAAGTGAAAAAAGTCGATAGGGAGGAACGGAAGAGTGATTTCAAGATGTAAAAGAGACAGACACAAAGGTAGAGAAAAAGGTGTGAGTACTGTGGAAGTAGTCGAATATGACATAGAGTGGGATGAGTACTGTGGAAGTGGTCGAAAATGACGTACAATGGGGTCATGGTATATTGAAGCCAGAAGTCAACTGCCGAATAATAGACTTTTTGCCGTATGAGTATACGTTGCCAGGGTGCACCACGTGGAGGTAAGTCTATCGCACACCCACTTGGCTCTCCCCTCAAATTTCAACCCTACACGGATGGGCTTGTTTTTTTTTATTTTTACTATTACCATTACAATTATAATTATAAGTAGTATCTTAATCGCAAGTCAAATTAATCAACGCAATACAAGCCGTACCTAATCAATACTATCTCGTTTGCTTATGAAGGACAATTCTTTTGAAACGCTATCTGAAGTTAAAGTATTTTTGGGTGACCAAGTATGTATAGCATCGGTTAAATAGTTAAAGATTACTCGTGTCATTAATATCCATAGGATGGGCGACTGAGTCCAGATATCGAAAAGCTTATATTCTGGAATTATCAAATATAATTTAATTTATAATTTCAGTGGTCTAAAATTCCATTAGCGTTAAACAGACATTGCCCACCACTTACTTTAGTTGAACAATAAGCCATTCTATCGAAATTGAATTCGGCCATAAGCTAGATGATGAAATAAACAAACGAGAAGAATTTTATTTAAAACCAAAATTTATCTGCACTTTTAAATTAGTAATATTTTCTCGGTAAATATATAATGTCGCTTTTAAGGTTGAGGAGAATACTTTAATTACCATTAATTTCGGGAGGATCAAATCAAATTGTCCGAAGCTTGATTTGTTAAATTCTCTAGTGAAAGAGGAGGATATTCGAAGGTCAAAGTCGTACTTTCAGAGAAGTGAAAGGAAAAAGTGTCTCTAATACCCATTCACTTTACGCCTCAAAATCTGACTTATTTGAAAATAGTTTTGAGGATCGGCTGACATTTTTTATAAGCTAAGCCCTGTAATCTGAAAACCAATTCCAACTTGGTAAATAGCCGTAGAAAGTACCTGTCATCCGTCACCTCTATAAATATATATCTGAAATGTATTGTTTGTTCCCATGATTGCATTGTTCCACGTCCTCTCTTGAGCCTTTAACTTGGGTGCAACCTATTCAAAGATCTAGTGTCGTACCTTTTAATTTCTTGAGTCTCAAGTATCACATAATCGATTAAACTCAGACCCAATTGGTGGAAAGTCTTCAAAACGAGCTCCTGCGGAAATAACGGGTGGGTGGGAAGGGGGTGCCTTATTTCTACCATGTTCTTGCTATTGAATGAGGGGTATCTCATTCAACGTTTTTATGCTACCTGCTTATACAAAAAGGTACCATTTAGAATAATGGTGTATTTTGCAGACGGTCCGGGGTAGCTAGCATTCATTCAGCGTCTCTTTCTCGTCTCTCTCTCTCTCTAATTAAACGAATGATGTGCACAATTCTGTTGAGTTTAAATGAACGCGACTTGTACAGAAGCAACCAGTTATCACGCTTGGCCGGGTAGCGACAATGATGTAGCAGCACAAGAAAAAATACATTTTGAAGCAACTCAATGCATGCATTTTTCACGCTAATACAACTTAACGTCCATGTGTATGTTTTTCTTCTTTTTGTTTTTCATCGTTATTGTCAAAGTGTATGGACTCATGAAAGCGAATCGTAATTCATATGCACGCATATCAAAAGTCTGTTTCCATGGTAAAGAATGAAGAGAGATTGGTAAGGTTGAGGAGGGAACTTCAAAAGACACACATTTAACAGCTACTGGATAGGAGACAACTGGCGAGAGAATACCACTTTGAAAAACTTGCATAATGACACCGTCTAACTTCACTAGATAGGCTACTCGTGAGACGTATGCCCTGATAATATTACTTCAGGTAAATATCGTCATCATGTGCATCCTGATGATTTAGACTTACCATAAAAGGAAGGCATATTGTGGTTGATAAAAATATTAACATTTTTCAATAAATATGCAGACTGTTTAATCAATGGGTTTAAAGCCTTGCTTTACCGGAAATCAGTAGTGCAGAGTAGCCCAAAATTTAAGAATGATAGCATTCACATTGTGATAGCTTAACTGTCAATCTTTAAAAATAAATTCTGAGATTGAAGGCTTCACTAAATTCACTCATAGTTGGCCGCACAATATACCTTTACCTTTCAACAGTCAAGAGGGCGTAGATTAAATTGAAAGAGATGGTGTGTAGTGATAATGCCAATTCAAGGTGAACTGATATGGCATTGATTTTTTTCATTTACCTATAATAGATTCTGAGCCTTCATCGCCAACCGGATCGGAAGGAGCATCACCATTTGGAACTGGATGTTATCCATCTCGATTTCCATTGGGACATGGGGAGTATTCCAGATATAATTTGGGAGGTTTGTTGGTAAGTTTCCCTAGCAATAATCAATTTAAGGAAAGTATTTTTCTGTCGTTAAAAATAGACATTTATTTATTTCAAATGGTAAGCGTTTTGATAGATATCATTAGCCATTTAGCTGACTTCGGGCTTCACAGAGGGAAGGTTCATCAAGGTAGCAGAAAGTCGAGGGTAGGGGAACAGAAGAGTGATTCACAGATGTAAAAGAGGCATACAGACACAAAGGTAGAGAAAAAGGGTCGAATATGACAACCAGGGGGGTCGTGGTAGTTTGAAGTCAGAAGTCAACTGCCGGTTAATAGACCTTTTTTGTCGTATGAGTATACGTTGCCCAGGGTGCACCACATGGAGGTAAGTCTATCACACACCCCTTAAAAATAGACATGAAAATCGATATATTTTTGTTGTAGGCATATAGTGGTGATGGAGATAATGGGGTTGGGAACGGAGAGGGTGATACATATGGACAGGGGACTACTTTTGGAGATGCATCTTGTTCTGAAAATTCAGATGCCAGTGGCTATCCCCCTGGTTACATGAACGATTTGAAAATGAACGACTCCGGAGGCTTTATATCACCAGGCGCACCCGGATCTTCATATTTCTCAAATCGACTAGCGAATTCCCTCAATGGAATGGATGGAGGCCCTAATTCTTCGAGGACAAAGAGAGGTGTTCTTCCGAAAAGAGCAACCCAGGTCATGAAGCAGTGGCTATTCCAACACCTTGTGGTAAGCTATCCCAAGTGTCCGCACTAAAACTAACTACAAAGTTGGTAGGATTAAAATTTGGTTTATCCAAACAAAAATACTTTCTACTAGGTGTCCATAAAAATCTCTACTACTCAAAAAATAAATGTCCCATGTCAATGTGTCGTCTATTGTAGTAAAATACCGATACGCCTCTGTCGTATTTGAGATAAAAAATTCAAGTAAAGGACATTGTTCGAATATTTATTTATTTATTTCAAATGGCAGGCATTTTGAGAGTTATCATTAGCCCTTTAGCTGACTTTGGGCTTCACAGAAGGTAGGAGCATTAAAGTGCGAAGAAATGATAGGGAGGAAAGAAGAGCGATTCGGAAAGTCGAGGGGTGGGGAACAGAAGAGTTTTTCACAGATGCAAAAGAGACAGACAGACACAATGGCAGAGAAAAGGTGAGGTGAGTATTGTGGAAGTGGTGGAATATGACATACAGTGGGGTCAGGGTAGTTTGAAGTGAGAAGTCAACTGCCAGTTAATAGACCTTTTTGCAGTGTGCCCAAGGTGAACCACGTGGAGGTAAGTCTATCACACCCCCCGTTAATCGAATATATTGTTGATATAAGCGTCTATAGTTTGGTTACTTATTTTTTTGGGAAACTTTTATTTATTTATATCAACTGGCAGGCGTTTTAATAGTTATCATTAGCCCTGGAGCTGACTTCGGGGCTTCACAGAGAGGAGAAGGGACATCAAAGTGACAAAAAGTCGAGATGGGAGACAGAATAATGATTCACAGAGGTAAAAGAGACAGACAGACAGACACAAAGGCATAAAACCGGTAAGATGAGTACTGTGGAAGGGGTCGAATATGACAAATAGTCGGGCATAGAAATTTGAAGTCAGGAGTCAACTGCTGGTTAATAGACTTTTTTGCCGTATAAGTAAGTCTATTGCGCACCCCATGTTCACTCAACGTCAACAGTGCGCCACTGCCCGTATGCAAGCAGGCACCACCACTGACATTAATAATAATGCGTGGACGCAATCGTAGCCGCCGCATCATTATTCGCCTATGTACACATTCTTCCAGGACTGCGAGCACTTTGGGAAACTTAGTGTTGGGTAGTCGTAGTTTGAACATATATACGACTTGCGCAGAGAGTATTTGGTTTTCATTATTTAATGAGGGATAAAGAAGAATTTAATTGCTGGACAATAGATCCTCTTCAATAAAATAATTTTTAAGGTTTTATGGGGGGGAGGGGTAATATTTCGATCGATGGTTGAAATGATTTCAAATGGGGGTGTACGATAGACTTAACTCCACGTGGTGCATTCTGGGCAACGTATACTCACACGGCTAAAAAGTCTATTGACTGGCAGTTGACTTCTCACTTCAAACTACCATCACCTCACTCTATGCCATATTCGAATATTTACACA